TGGGCTTAGGCAATTCTCTTGCCTTGGCCTCCCAAGTAGCTGGGACTACAGGCACCTGTCACCCGGCTATTTTTTTTTTTTTTTTTTTTTAGAAATAGAATCTCACTTTGTGGTCTTTGGTAGAGTGTTGTGGCATCACAGCAACCTCTAGCTCTTGGGTTTAGGCGATTCTCTTGCCTCAGTCTCCCAAGTAGCTGGGACTACAGGTGCCCACCACAATGCCCGGCTATTTTCTTTTGTTGTTACAGTTTGGCCGGGGCTCTACCACCCTCGGTATATGGGGCCGGCGCTCTACCCACTGAGACATAGGCACCACCTCGGCTATTTTTTATTGTTGCAGTTTAGCCAGGGCTGGGTTCGAACCTGCCATCCTCAGTATACTGGGCTGGTGCCCTACCCACTGAGCCACAGGCATCACCCTAAAATAAACTACCTTTTTAGATGAAAATTTTACAACTTTTAAATTCTTTTCACCTAGGATAAGTCAGAGAAACAATATCATCAAATACAGCTAGCAAAAAACATACCAGAGATTTATACCAAATAGGAAAAGAAAGGAAAAAAAAAAAGTATGCTCCATCCCAATTAAAAATATAAACGGTTAAAACTGGGTACAGTGGCTCACACCTGTAATCCCAGCACTCTGGGAGACTGAGGCAGGTGAATTGCTTGAGCTCAAGAATGAGATTCCCTCACACCTGTAGTCCCAGCACTCTGGGAGGCCAAGGCAGGTAGATCACCTGAGCTCACTGGTTTGAGACCAGCCTGAGCCAGAGCGAGACCCTGTCTCTAAGGGCATTGTGACGGGCAGCTGTGGTCCTGGCTGCTTGGGAGGCTGAGGCAGGAGAATTGCTTAAGCCGAGGGGTTCAAAGTTGCTGTGAGCTGTGACTCCACAGCACTCTACCAAGGGTGACAAAGTGAGACTATCTCAAAAAAAGCAAAAATTACTACACCCATGAGTGATAAGAAAAATTATTTTCCATGTTAAGGGTTCCCAGACCAAATTGTCCACGTGCCTAAAGAGTTTACAGGGATGAGACACCATCAAGGATCCCACAGGAGATTTATGAAGGAGAGGAGAAATAGCCAGAAGCAGCTTGAACAGCAAAATGTCAGAGAGGGCAGGGTAAATGAGGTAAGCCCTGTGTGTGTGAGCTGTATTCCTGCCTCCGCTTTGTCGATTCTGCTCACTTTCCTTCCTTATTTCATTCCTCATTTCCATAGGCCATGTATTATATTTTATTCATGTTGTAAACTGCTTTTTGTGTCTGGAACATTTTTTAATTAGAGATAATCAAATGAATGAATGATTTATTTATCAAATAGTCAAGTGAATGAGTGGTTGAATATATTTTGACTGTTTTCAGGAAGAGAAAGGCCCTCAAAGTGATCTAGTGGGATGGGAATACCAGGTATTCTGGGCAAAAACTACTTTAGCATCAACGGACAACAACCTAGACCTCAGATTCCCTGAAAAGGGGATGTATAAGGATTAAGACTTATACTAGATGCTAACAGAGTACTGGCCCTGTGTCTGCAGAACTAATGGCTGTTAAAAGGTACAGATTGTGACCATAAGTATACAAAATATGGGGGATTGTATTAGTCAGGATAAGCTAACTGCTATAGCAAAACAAAACAAAATAAAACAATCCAAATATATAATGTCTCAAACTCAATAGAAGTTTACTTCTTGCTTGTGAAACAATACTAAGCAAGCGAACAGGTTGGCCCAACAGTCATTCAGGGAACAGAAGCTGGTGGAGGCAATGCCATCTTCAAAAAAAAAAAAAAGAATGAGATTCCCTTCTCTACTAAAAATAGAAAACTTCCCGGGTGTTGTGGTGGGCGCCTATAGTTCCAGCTACTTGGGAGGCTAAGGTAAGAGGATCACTTGAGCCCAAGAGTTTGAGGTTGCTGTGAGCTATGATGCCATGGTACTCTACCAAAGGCAATAGAGCAAGGCCTCTCTCAAAAATAAAAGATTAATCATCACTGATTGCTAATTATAGACTAAACAAAGAAGCAGCTTCCCAAAAGACATCATTTCTCCCTTAGATCCCCAAGTCTGAAATGCTGACATACCCTGTGTCGAAGACGATTCCCTCAAGTCGGTGCCTTGGGAACTCATGAAGCTGGCCCCCCTAGTCTCCACCGGGTCATCCTCACTGTCACCTTGCTCATCCTCAGAGGACGAGGACTTGTCATCTGAGGAGCTGGCAAAGATAGCCTTGAACAAGTCCATGGATGGGCGGCTGCCTTCTTCAGCCTGTGAGTCCACACCTTTGTTTACCATCTGTATGAGGAGGTAAGAGCAAGGAATAAAGAAATAAGAGTCAAGAATACAGAAACAAGCTCAGCACCTGTGGCTCAACCGGCTAAGGCGCCAGCCACATACACCTAAGGTGGTGGGTTTGAATCCAGCCCGGACCCGCCAAAACAACAATGATGGCTGCAACCAAAGAAAAATAGCCAGGCATTGTGGCGGGTGCCTGTGGTCCCAGCTACTTGGGAGGCTGAGGCAGGAGACTCGCTTGAGCCCAGGAGTTGGAGGTTGCTGTGAGCTG